TATTTCGAAGAATGACAAATGTGCGATAATTTTCATCCGTTTGAAGTCTTATTTTGGCGTTCAGAGCTTTTTGTCCCCTCTCCAAAGCGTTAAAAATGTTGTTCCGAGATCCGTATGTTAGGATTCTGGATGCGCTCACGACGTACGATGTATGTCAGAACTGTTCACTGTTCCGATTTAAGAAATGAGTGGGCTTATGCTGCCGTGCACTGCACTCTTTTGCCTGGAATCAGACGTGCATGGAATGACTGATGTGGCTTTTAATCTGGTGTACATTGTGATGTCTGTTTGCATGTTTCTCGAGTAAACATATTTGGACTTCGAAGAACGGTTGTGAAACATTTGTCCACCCTATGTTTTTGGCCTTCTGTTTAGAGCCGTCGTGGTTAGAGACTTCGATCTCAAGGGTGTTCCAATACGAGAGTGAAGCAGAACACTCAATACGTTGGAGAGGAGCTCGTGAAATATGGAAGCACAACGTCAGGAATTTCCGTCGAGCGTTTTTTCTTAATGTGCGTGGTCATCAAGGCACCGGCTAGGCGCTGGATGAGTCTGTTTGTTGTTCCGCTGGATGATTCTGTTTGTTGCATCCCAAAACGAATTTCCTGGAGCTGCGGTTCTTCTCAGTCACTAGCTATAAGGCATCAGTCAAAAACCAACATGATTTACACTGTTGTTTTGGGGTCATTTGGACATATGCATCCTCGTTGGAGTTCAACTTGTATCAAATCGGATGAGAATACTTAGCCATTGCCGCGCTTACTTGAGCTTATGAGGCGTTAATATTCACTTTCTGACGGTTCTGGAGTGCCAGGTCTGAATACTGCTTGGCTCGATTGGGTGCTTCGATGTGAATACCCGATAATGAAGTCTACTACAGATCAGCATCGAAGATGATACACTTCATTGTGCTGTGGCCACATTCGTTGTGTGGCCGCACGGAAATATGTGATGGGGTCCTCAACATCCTTCTTGGGATCTTTGATTAGCCCATAGGAGATGTTAAACCAGAAGCTCATTCACGGATAAAAAAACGAGGATTTTAAAGACATTTGCAAAGCTAACGTTGCGAAAAATTTCGCAAAGCATCAAATTTGTAGACCGATCGGGTTCGCCAGACCTCTTAACGACAGCGAAAATTTCCTAGTTTGACAGCCCAGACAAGGTTGGATTGAAACATGCCATCATATTTCTTCATCCAACTTTCAGAAGCCCGTCAAGTTTTAGACGTCTGAGCTATCGGCAACGTATGTGAAAGCCCTATTCATGAAACCATGAAAATCTACGCAGAATATCCTTGCTTTCATTTTGGAAGCTAAAGCTGAACATTTGCACCTTGTGGTGGATGCATGTCAGCTACGAGAATGAGACTTTCTAAGGGATATTTGATAACTGCACTGAGTCCAGCGCACTCATGTTTTTGTACACAACAGTACCACAGGCGATGAAGCTTTCAGTATCTGGTATTCATTATGCAGAATCCATTTGACAGGAGGCAGGAGGCGGCTCTCTTGGGCCCCTTCTTTACTCCGGCTTGAAAAGCCCAGTCACTGGAACAGCTTTCCGTAGAACGGGGTTTACTCACCGGGTACCAAACGTTTTGGAAGAAACTATAGGCGTCGCTGGCGGTTTTCTCCCGTCCCATCTGTGCAGCGTGAAGAGCCCCCATTTGCTTAGTTTGCGCTTATTAGCTTCAGAGGTCTGAACACTTTATAGCCAGCATCTGCATGAAGAGCGTGAAGGCGAGGTCGTTTCGTCACCAGCATGATTGTGGCGCTGAGGAAGCAGGCATGTAGATCCCGATTTTTCAATTTGTAAATCCTACTTAGAGCATCTTCAGAGAGATTTTCGTGGCAGTTTTGGGGTTAGTCCTGGTCGTTATATGGCTGTCAGGCGTGCAGCAGATAAACGACTTGGGTCCTCCGTCAGAACCATCGCCGTCACAACCTACTCGAGACAGGCACGCACCGAATAGTTTGATCATCGACACTTTCGGTTGTGAAGGGACTATGTCCGTGAATGAGCGGAATCACAATTTTTATCACAGTTGAAAGTAATTCTGGGATTAGCAGTTCGGCAGGATGCAACACATAATGACTTCCANTGAATGAGCGGAATCACAATTTTTATCACAGTTGAAAGTAATTCTGGGATTAGCAGTTCAGCAGGATGCAACACATAATGACTTCCATGGCTTCAGTAATCCTGAAAATAGAAAGGACGCACGCGAAGTCACCAGTGTACCTCAAGAAATATAGCGATCCGAATCCAACCAGAAGGATTGGGCTTGAACGGGGACCACAAAGGCGCTGGAAGGCAAAACTATCCAAAATCAGATGAGACCTATAGTTGACGTCTAGTTAGACACAAAACGGACTGGAAACTGTATAATTTTGGGCAATATGGAAACGAAAAGGTATTTGTAAGTGTTACTCTGTTGCCTATATCGTATGAAGGTCGAGCACACCATAATCATTGTTCTTCTTTTATCCACGCCTCTCGTGCCACAGACAAAAAGAAAAGAAGTGGAGCAAATATGAATGTACATGACCCAACAGTGGTATCTTAACACGGATTTCTCCCAAACCCTTCTTTTGTGACAAACATGCTCGTGTTTATGGACAGCTTAACCCAAGCTAAGGACGACGGAATATGGGATACCATATTTTCCGACTTCTCAAAAGCATTTGATAGGGCCGCACACGTCCGCCTGCTTCAAAACGCCAGACTTGCGGGATTCAAGGAAATTCCTACACTGGATCAAGGCATTCCTATCAAACAGATCACTTCGAGTGGGAACAGGCTCCACACTTTATGACTGGTCACTGAAAAACAGACTACCGTTTAACCTACAAAAATGTAAAATGCTCCGTGTAGGGGAGCCCTTTGCATATAACTATACGTTGCGTCTACAACCACTTTCTTGGACTAGTGAAGAAAAAGATCTGGGCGTGTGGGTCAGCGGCTGTTTAAGAAACTCCTTGCAATGCACAGCCGTCTACAAGAGGACCTCACAAGTCCTGTCGCTCCTAAAACGGATTTTTGGTCGTTTCACTCGACTGGCACTGCCCCGAGTAATCAATACCTACATCCGACCAACCATGGAGTACGCTATACAAGCTTGGTCACCATGGCTTCAAAAAGACATAATTCTTCTACAGCGAATATATCATCGAGCCACGAAGCTGGTAATTGGATTGCATAATAAACCATACGAAGACAGGATTGCCAGTCTCAACCTATTTGACTTCTACTATCGGCGCATCAGGGGAGACCTAATTCTAACATATAATATACTGAAGACACCTAATCATCCGCTGGAAGACCTTTTTGTCCGACGTCGAACACGAACGGGCAGGAGGCATAACTTTTCGCTCGCGGTACCTCACTCGAGGGTGAACTGTCGACGGAACTTTTTTGCGGTCCGCGTATGTTTCATTTGGAACTCCCTACCTCCCAATGTTGCACATTCGCCGAGTTTAAACGTTTTCAAGAACAATTTAGATGCATATCTTATGTCCAAACCGAATCTGGAACTGTTTAACTCCATGTGATACTCAGTAAAAATTACGCATATTTTTTCGTCCCTTTGTGTATATACGTTCACCCTATGGTCGTTGTAAAGTTGCTTGCTTTTTAGACCATTAAACCTTGAATTAAGCTTGAAGTAACCTAACCTTTTCCAGCGCCGGTCTTCAATGGGGTTCCTTGAGGCTCCGTTCTGGAACCACTGCTGTTTCTGATCTATGTCAACGACCTTCCAGACGTTCTTGCAAGTCATAATCTACTTTTTGCAGACGACTTGAAATCCTGGAGTCCCAGTACCAGTGTCCTCCAAGTGGAAGTAGGGCCGCAAAGCAGTGGTCGTCGGACTGGCATCTTCCGCTGAATGACGAAAAGTTTGTCCATATGACGTTTGGGGGAGGTCCAGCGAATGCCTTCGTCATGCATAGTGAGAAAGGGCCAGAAAACGCAATGAGGATAGACGCCAAAATGGATCAGACAATCTGGCTCTCTTCAGACTTGTCCTTTTCACCGCACCACGAGAACTCCGATCAAAAGCATTTGTCGATTTACGGATGCCTCGGCACACCTACCGTATTACTGGCATAGAATTTCGAATACTCTGTGGGGCCTACGTCAGACCGCTCCTTGAATATACCAACCAAATTGTCTATTCAGGACGCACGAAAGACGCCAACCTCATTGAGAGTGTCCAGCGAGCCGCTAAGAGAATGGTTGCCGTTGTCTACGAAACGCGTCTCGCGATGCTGGACCTCTTTCCCATAGAGTAACGTTGCCTCCGAAGGGACCTAATCCCTACATGTGCTCTGTTTGAACAAAGCATGGCCAACAGGTTTTTCGCCGCTGACCCTGCAAACACATGGCGGGCGCATGCTGAGATTTTCAAGACCGGAGTGCACACATTCATTAGGCGAAATTTTTTCTCATCTCGAGTAGTAGCTGTGAAGAATAATCTTCCTTCGGCGGTATTCCAAGCTCCTTCTAGAATCAAGCTCAAAGCACTATTAGACACTTATTTATGCGAGTCCTCGCGCTGGCAACCTTACTGCATCGCCCTGTGAACATATAGGGCAGTGATACATCCTTTTTTTACTTGTGCTTTTCAGGTAAACGACAGCCGCTGAACGGCAAGAACGAAAATGACCCAGGAAACTTGGATATCAATCCTTGAGTCCGTGGGTGACAACAGCGATTCAGAGTGATATAATGAGCAGTAACATTCAATTATAATTTATTGCGATTAGGGGACATTGTGCTTTTACTACTTTCCCCAAACTGGTTTTGCTATCACAACCGGCGGATCACCGCCAAAACCGAGTACAAAGCCAAGCAACGTTCCTCGACTTCGCTGTCCCGGATGCCGAATTGGGATCACCGAAATGACCTAGCTCTACTGGAACTTGAACAGATAAGACTGTGAAGCCGTAAGCTAAATTTCAAGGTCAGCCTCAGCATTTATATTTCAAACTGCGTCGTGCAGGTATTCTCGTCCGTCGTTGGGCGTTCTGATGGGTACTGAGGTGGAAACTAACCCATTTCGACCGGGTGGGGAGTTGTCACTGGAGGCCGATAGCATCCTCAAAAATTCAACGATCCTCCGGGATACGGTAGGTTCCTATGTTGTTTTTCTCTGTAAAACTAGTGGCTTGTGTTGAAGTAGGGACTCCATCTGTTTTTCCAAGTAAGAATAAAACGGGACCAATAATTTCATTTTTTGTGAATCACCGATAGTCTCAATGCTTCCGCTGATCCGTAATGTCATCGCTCAGTGGTGAACCACTGGGATGTTGCCAGTTCAACGCTTGACCGCCTAACTCCAAGCCACATAAGTCTGGTATTTTTTAGGGGGGGCGCTGGTTCCCCCACACCCTAACCTTAAGGGGTCTAGAACTGTGGATTTTCTAGTCTACATTTCCTGCCGCGTCGAGCGTTTAACCGAGCTGTGGAGTAAATTTACCCCAATGCGGATGTGGATATCGCATCAAATCAGATTTGTAGTGGATAACGTGAGCAAATACCAGTTCAGAGTAGTGAAATCAAGTGGGATACAACTCATCGTTCGTTGGTACAGTTAGTTATTACCACCACAATAAATCCAAAGCGATCTCCTTCCTGGAATCTTCCTGGATATATTCCTAGATACTTTCCATCCCGTCGTAGTCTGAAAGGTAGATCATCGCTCGTTAATTCACTGCCAGCGTAATTCGACACAGCAAGAAGGGAACACGCCTTTCACGAGGTACGGAATTTGTATTGTATCCATATTTCTTTTTCGTTCATTTTAAACAAAAGTGATTCGGTATGAAGAGAAGAGGAATAAGCTGAGATTTTAGTGAGAGATAGAAAGTGGTACAATTTGAGTAATGATAAGTTACAAAGAAAGTACCAAAGTACAATGGTCTGAAGGATCACCATAGATTGGCGGCACCAACACAGCGGGACAGACCCGGCCAAAGATGTAAAGCAACCCGTCCTTGAGTTTCTTCCCGCCATCTGTAGTCCAGGCCGTTACAAAACTTCGAATACCTTCAACCCTTGGTCTCATTTCCTCGCGACCGGCGGACACCCTATCAATGTAGTGGACCTTGACCAGTGTCACGTGAAGGTAATTCTGTATGTGCTTCAGCTTTGTAACTTCCGAGGTTATTTCCGCTATTGGTCTTGGCGTTCGGGTTCGTTGTACGGAAGCCAAAAAACAATTGGTGTGTCAGCTTTTATTCCGTCGGTCATTATTACTTAAATTCACAATAAACAGGGTGGTTTAGGCCATTTTCATGCCGCTTTTCAGACGTTGCACACAGTCAGTGTGCTCATAGCTTTTGTTCTTTGGATGAAGCCCCCATCAAAGACAGCAGTATCATTGTTGACACTGGTGCTTCACTGCCGTCCAACCACAAAGTTTATTCGATTATATTTATAGTTTCAGAATGAGTGGGCGAGGCAGGGGGCTGGTGCTAACTGATAGCAGACATTCTCAGGTGTTTACACCAAGTACTCAGTATATTCGGCTCGGAATTGACAACGATCGACCACCATTTTTTGCATTATCTTCGGCAAAGCAGAACGGGCTCACAGGGGCCCCGTCCTGGGATGCAGACCACACGAAAAACACCTTAACTTTCCGTAATCTCTTTCGGGGCCAAATCACGTCCTTTTCGGGTTTTGCACCATCCTAAGGGAGACTGTTTCGGAATGCCCACTACACGGCCGAACCACCGCTGCAGGTGGTGCTGCATTATTTTCCGCTACTGGAGTAACTGCACGACCGGATACCCGTTTTCCGGATGCCTCGTTGAGAATCCTTTGAAGCCATCTAACACTATCCATGCTTCCGGGGAAATCAGTGGTCAAAAACCTTAAGTCGCCTCACATCTGTCCGCAGAGGCCATGTCTCGCAGCCGCAAAACAATACAACCTTTACCGTAGCCTGGTGCACGTGGCCTTTGGGATCCTGTGATATGGCTTTTTGACGCCGAAAGTGACGCAGTTTGCCATCAAGGTTAGGGTCTATGAGACTCGTACACTTCCGTCATAGTTGTTTCATCCACTGAGGTGTGTAAAATTCTCCGCAATCGTCAGTGCTTATCCTTGGATTGCAACCCTCAGAGACTGCACTTTCCAGACTGTAGGAGCGAGTCAGGAAACGTTGAGCAAAATCTTGACAGCGAATTATGACAACCATTACCAGCAACACAGATGCGCTTTATATTACCGTTTCCCTGGATGGGGACCCCAAGGCGGGACACGTCGAATGTTGAAAACGTCGGCAGACATGGCCCGTATGCATCCATGCTTTCGCCTTCAATGAATAGCTTGCCCCTCAGATCTCCCAACTCAAAAGTCCCCTGTCAATCTTGGATTCACGCGCCAGTTATATTAGCTACAGCTGAACTGTGAATAATCCCATGCCGGATTTTGAATACCCGTTTGGTGCTGGTTTGAATTACGCCACAGTGATAATGGGGACTAGAAGCGCCTTGGTTTGTCCCAATACACCGTCGACGTTCATGGGACTCTATGCTTCACACTCAACGTCCACTCATGCCGTACCGTCGTGCGTTGACTGAAAGAATCACAGGAGTTTAATGCATCAAGATTTTTTTGCAGCCCTCCGGATTAATCCTGTTTCCCTCTACGAAACTGTAGAGTTACATAGCCCACCAATTTATCAGCTCCCTCCTGCAATGCGCAGCTACCTCCCCCTCCCCCCAAATCATCGGTGAACGAAACGGCGGCAGTTGCAACCATTGTACGACGAGTACGCAGTTATTACGGCTGACAATGATGATGATGATGACATAGCCCACCAAATGTTAAGTCTGACAGAGTGTGTGTAAGAGGTCAATCTCAGGATCCGATGGACTTGAGTGTTTTTGGCTACATCCTTCCTGCTGCCGTGCAGTCCCCACGGCGCTGTGCTAATTCTGGACGCGCCTCTCGAACAAAGGTCGTGAGGCGCTGTCGACAAATTCACGCCATGTCATGCTGGTTTTTCAGATACAAACCTTTGTTGATGCAACTGGAATTATTCAGTCGTCAACCCGTCGCGAAGAGGCTGAACTTTGCCGTGGTGCGACGGCTGCCGGTTGAGCCATAATGGCGGGTCATCTGTAGCGAAAGACGGTAACTAGATTGAGACTGAGTAAGAGGTCTTCAATGAGTGCAACGTAGGTCTTATTCTGACTGGCCTGATTCTTCTGGATGTACCCAGTTTGTTTTCGTCGTGTGTGTATTTCAGCTTTGTGTCGAACTCATGGTGACGTCGATCTTCTCATTGTAAACCACTTAATTCCTAGGATAGTGGATCAAATGTCTGGTTATCGGTTCGCAGTGTTCTCTTCAAGCTAATGCATCCGTTGGATAGGAGCTGCGTTGTTTTTTATTCGCCAGAGAAGATACGAATGCTCCACTTTCACATTATCAATCTTCCCCTTTTAAATCCGCTTGTTTTGAACGCAGCGGCACCATAGGCACCGAAAGGGTGTTACAGCCGAAGGAAAAAGTTTTTCAGTCATGGACTAGCCGAAGGAAAGAAGTTTTCAAGTCATGGACTTGGTAGTCGCCGTTCGACGCATGACTAGCCGAAAATGACTGCAGGGCAGCGTAACTTATGGACTGTGACCAGTTGATTTTCCGTGAAATCCCTTCGGTGTACCTCAGCATTACTGACCTGTTGTTCCCATCAGACCCGGTAAATGTTTCATTGGCTCCACTGATCAAGCACATGGTTTTTCGAAGGCAGCGTTCACGCCTTTGATCCATGAAGCAAGATAGACCGAAACGCAGTAATGGACACACTACCGTCGATAGCCAGAGTGAAAGTCACTTCGACGGAACAAACGATGAAGGTTAGCAAACGCTACCCTGACCTTTCATATCTGAAAAGTGACCTCGCATTTCGGCAGTCCACCGCAACTTATCCAGCCGCCCAGAGAGTTGAACTTATCTACTATGTCGATCGGTTTATCTGCAAGCACGAGGTTCTGATTGGCAAAATCATCAGCGTACTCAATATCCACGAGGTGATGGAGGCACGTAAAAGAGACTCAGGCAGCATATAAGTTGCGAAGTCGAAAGTGAAGGGGGGAAAGAGCACTTGGAAATCAAGATAGAGTTTACTCTAGACACGTACGTGTCCACAGAGGAAGAATATACAACCTTTATGATGGTCGACAAAATCAAAAACAGCTCTCGGATGGTGAAAAACTGTCATTGTTGTTCGTTGGAGGACGCAATTGTCAAAGCCACGAGGCAGCGGATGTTAGAGTTCTCTTGACAGAACCTATTCAGAGGCAATGACTCAGCCTTCTGACCCGCTTGGCTGCAAGGTTTTGTGTGACGCGGAGGAGCAGAGTAAGGTATAGATGCTTGACTTTTGATGTTGCTGCGCGTAGCGGATGTGTTTGGAACCACATCGGACTCATGACAAAGTTTATTTTTTCCCACCGTACTGGATAATTCGCCAGCGATCACGGTCGACTGCACGGAGTGTGTGGGTTTTAAGGCCGACCTTTTCCAACTCGTCCCTCTCACACTTTCGCCCTGTTAGAGTTTACAGACCCTCGTTATACGACTTCTCACAGTACGGGGACTGATTTCCAGCTGGTATAACCTACGCGATTACACCATCCACGACGTTGGAATCACAGCCTTAGGTCGTGCTGCCTGCATCATATACCATAGAAATCCAAAACTCTTTCGGTGTGTTCGATCACCAACAGTCCACAGGCTGGTCATATCGCCCTTGGATCAGATGCTTTAGAAATGGTAACTGTCTTGTATAACCTGCAGACGAACCTATCAGAGTGGTTGGTAAGTTCGTCTATCTAGATCCTTTCTTATTTGTTTCTTATTGGGGGCGAGATGGACCAAGTGGTTAGAGCGCGAATTTACTGACCGGAAGGTCCGTGGTTCGGACCCGACCTCTGCCACTCGATTTCCCCGGTCTAGGCATGGGCAACCTGTCAGAATCCCAGCCCTCGTGCCTCCTTCGTGTGGCATGACAGCTAGGCACCGAAAGGGTGCTACAGCTGGACGATTTCCTGGAGGACTGGTGAAAGACGAATTGCTTCTCTGGTTGGAAAGACCAATGCTGCGGTTACCAGGCTGTATCATTTGTCACCAATGTGACAAGTTCGGCAGTCTTGTCTCTTTTCATTCTAAGGCTTCAAGTATAATTGGATAAGCGACACTGAAGCTTCAGTCCCAACAGTGACGCTGTTGTTTTTGACCATGATGAGGGTTGGCGACCGATGGGTCTGACCGCTACGTGCAGCTCTTCGGTATCTCCGATACACCTCTCTTGTGTGTTGGAAACATCAGGCCAATAATCCAGAGGTACGCCAGCTTGTTTTCGTAAAGTTAATTTTCCTTTGAAAGTTCAAATGACTACACTACATGGGTTTCCCCTTTAAGGACGTGTACTTCATATGTTAGAAGGCAGTTTTCCAGAGTTGGAAAGGATGGTAGTTACAGTGAAAAGAACCCATCTACAATTTAACTGCGTAGCAACCGCCCATAACAGTCACGGTTCTGGAATGGCCCCTTAGGTTTCCGATTTTGGCACTTCACATTGCTGGCTGTAAGCGATTTAGAAAACGTTTTCTCAGACCAACCATTATACCATTTCTCCTCTGAATTTGAGAGGCGTGCATATGTTTCAGATAAATATGCAGTCCAGCCCACGACCATGAACCTGGTTACAACACATCGCTTTTTGGTGTCATGTTTTGACTAGCTCTGTGAGCAGCTGCTGTGGAGAAGCTTTAATATACTTTAGTGTGTTGGACCGAGTTGGCCCAAGTGGTTGGAGCGCGAATTTACTGACCAGAAGGTCCGTAGTTCGAACCCGACCTGTGCCTCTCGACTTCCCCTGTCTAGGCTTGGACGACCTGGCGGTATCCCAGCCCTCGTGTCTCCTTCGTGTGGCATGGCAGCTAGGCACCGGAAGGGTGCTACAGCTGAACGATTTTTCACACCTTAGTGTAAACATCGGGATGCCCGAATTTCGAGAGGAGGAAAATGTCCAAAGTATTGGCAAATTCAAGAAATTAAAACAGCGGTAGCTCACAGCGTAGATGTATCATTGCTGTCGGACTCATGGCGAGGATTTATTAGTGCACAGTGTATGCACTAATAAAAGTTTTTAATATGGTTGACAGTGGTGAGTTAGAACACGTATAAAAATAAATGCAATGCGAGAACAAGTCGAAAGAGAAAAGCTCATCGTTTGTGAGGGCTTTTTGGTGAAAGTCCGGACGGCGGGAACGTGTTTTCTCCTCAGTATGGCTGCTACACGTATTCCGTAATTGTCCGTGGACTTGTGGAGAGTGGTTGAATTCATGCTACCTATGCGCGCGCGAGTCCGTGTTTGTTGTTTGTGTTCGGTCTTCCTATATGTAGCTACGTTTGCGTGTTCGTGGGTTTCAAGATATGACTTGTTGCTACACGTGTCAGACGGTAGGCAGTCAATGTCAGATGAGTCACCCTTGTGTGTCCTGACTTGTAAATTTAGGGCAAGAAGGCGAGTCCTGAGATCCAGGGAGCGACTGTCAGCTGTGTAGTCAAGTGAGCCGCGGTTGTGTGGCGTGATTTGTGAGTGTAAGAAAAAATACAGATCTCATGCACTACTGAGTGGCGGTGAGCTGTACTGTCATGTATGTGAGTGGAGTGATGGCTACGAAGTACCTTTGAGTAAGCTACGGAGGCACTTGAAAAGACGTTTTGCGTTCTCATTAGATTAGCCTGTTCTCTGTGGGAACCGTCTAGTGCGGGGTATAACTGGCTTTCTATCTCTAACAAAAATTGATTTTACACAGCCTTGTAATGCACCTGGTCAGTATAGCGAAAAAGCGTTCACACTCCTCTGAATCCTCGTGATAGACTAGCATTAGAACTATTCCGTACGTTTCTTTGTGCCTTTCCTCAAGTAAATCTTGGTGTTGGGAATGTGCAAAACTGCTTTTGAGCACTTGTTGCTGTCGCTGATAAAAATACAGTAGCATGACTGCTAGGGACTAGCAGGGTGTTACAGCTGAACGATTGATTTGATTGATTATACGAAAACAGTTCTTTCATTAGAAGACGATGATCACGCGTATTTTCGATTTCTCATAATCCCCCTAGGTCATTATTAACGACCCTTCTCTTCGTCGTGCTGCTAATGGTTCCGCACTGGGCAACGAGACCCCCCAACATCCGATTAAAACGTCCTCCCACGGAGATTCCTTGCACGCCTTTCCCCCACGGCATACGTCCAATGGTCCTACACCCACTGACCCTTCATCGCTAAACGAACCAATCACCTGTGAGGTCGTTGTCGGTCACGTTTCATCCGTGCCTGCTCCGGGTTCCGGCGAGCAGCAAAAAATTGAACACGTGCGGATCCAAAACACTGCAAAACCTACGAAGTGCTGCGTCTTGCAGTGAATACTTTAGGCAATTGAGATGGCCAAGTTGCTTTTTTCCATTCTGATGCCTTGTTCCAAGTGAGTTCTGGTAAAACCGCGGCTATAGTAGTTCACCGTTGTTCAGCGATTCAAGCCGATTGGGCTGTTTGCCATTCATTCATTCATCCATCTCTCTTGTTTGGCGTTAACATCCTACTATCCACCTCTACAACTGATTTCGTTTATGGAACAATGTAATACGTACCCGTAGGAGACTGTCCACTGGGACCAGTTTGTGAATCAGTTTGTTTGGTCTATGAGACACACCCCCTTGCGATCACCTTTGTCATCTTCCAATTTGTGGTGTTCTGAATTACCTTAACTCTAATTGAGCCGTTCTCTTGAGTCCGCGATTGACGTGTGTTTTGCTTAAGATTGTTGTTGATTGTTTTAATCAGATGTTTGACCACCAATGCTTCAGAAGCGTTGCTGGTGTCAGATAGCGGAGACGAATTCGTAACCAGGTAACTAGAAAACAGGTATTTCGCTGTGCGATGGGTATATCGGTCGCGGGAAACATCCAGCACCATCAACTGCGGCTGGTCAGCCATGTGCTACACATGCTGAAAACACTGTCTACCGAAACAAGTTTTTCGTGCCTCCTTCAGAATACCACATATCACGAGATGGACAACTTATGACTTGGCAGAAGGGTTTGGAAGAGTTTACAAAGAGTTTGGGGCGAGATGGAACAGCCTTGTAATGCACCTGGTCAGTATAGCGAAAAAGCGTTCACACTCCTCTGAATCCTCGTGATAGACTAGCATTAGAACTATTCCGTACGTTTCTTTGTGCCTTTCCTCAAGTAAATCTTGGTGTTGGGAATGTGCAAAACTGCTTTTGAGCACTTGTTGCTGTCGCTGATAAAAGTACAGTAGCATGACTGCTAGGGACTAGCAGGGTGTTACAGCTGAACGGTTGATTTGATTGATTATACGAAAACAGTTCTTTCATTAGAAGACGGTAATCACGCGTATTTTCGATTTCTCATAATCCCCCTAGGTCATTATTAACGACCCTTCTCTTCGTCGTGCTGCTAATGGTTCCGCACTGGGCAACGAGACCCCCCAACATCCGATTAAAACGTCCTCCCACGGAGATTCCTTGCACGCCTTTCCCCCACGGCATACGTCCAATGGTCCTACACCCACTGACCCTTCATCGCTAAACGAACCAATCACCTGTGAGGTCGTTGTCGGTCACGTTTCATCCGTGCCTGCTCCGGGTTCCGGCGAGCAGCAAAAAATTGAACACGTGCGGATCCAAAACACTGCAAAACCTACGAAGTGCTGCGTCTTGCAGTGAATACTTTAGGCAATTGAGATGGCCAAGTTGCTTTTTTCCATTCTGATGCCTTGTTCCAAGTGAGTTCTGGTAAAACCGCGGCTATAGTAGTTCACCGTTGTTCAGCGATTCAAGCCGATTGGGCTGTTTGCCATTCATTCATTCATCCATCTCTCTTGTTTGGCGTTAACATCCTACTATCCACCTCTACAACTGATTTCGTTTATGGAACAATGTAATACGTACCCGTAGGAGACTGTCCACTGGGACCAGTTTGTGAATCAGTTTGTTTGGTCTATGAGACACACCCCCTTGCGATCACCTTTGTCATCTTCCAATTTGTGGTGTTCTGAATTACCTTAACTCTAATTGAGCCGTTCTCTTGAGTCCGCGATTGACGTGTGTTTTGCTTAAGATTGTTGTTGATTGTTTTAATCAGATGTTTGACCACCAATGCTTCAGAAGCGTTTCTGGTGTCAGATAGCGGAGACGAATTCGTAACCAGGTAACTAGAAAACAGGTATTTCGCTGTGCAATGGGTATATCGGTCGCGGGAAACATCCAGCACCATCAACTGCGGCTGGTCAGCCATGTGCTACACATGCTGAAAACACTGTCTACCGAAACAAGTTTTTCGTGCCTCCTTCAGAATACCACATATCACGAGATGGACAACTTATGACTTGGCAGAAGGGTTTGGAAGAGTTTACAAAGAGTTTGGGGCGAGATGGAACAAGTAGTTAGAGCGCAAATATACTGACCGAAAGCTCCGTGGTTCGAACCTGACCTCTGCCTCTCGACTTCCCCTGTCTAGGCTTGGGCGACCTGGCAGTATCCCAGCCCTCATGTTGCCTTCGTGTGGTATGGCAGCTGGGCACCGAGTTCTTTCTACAGCTGAACGATTGGGTGCTATTGGTGCGGTAGGACTTACAGGCCGGAGTGACTGTGACCCCTCCTGCGCTTGGTGGCACAGCGAACCGAAAGGGTTCTACAGCTGAACGATTGGGTGCTATTGGTGCGGTAGGACTTACAGGCCGGAGTGACTGTGACCCCTCCTGCGCTTGGTAGGAGGCACAGCGAGAAATGGCGACTGATTGATGTCCGTTATATTTGTGCTATCTTTCCAGGTTGAGCGCTTTGAGGTGTAGACACCTCAGAATGCTTAATATAGGTCACCACTGGGTGGCCTTCCTCAACCGCTCTTTTTTCATCCAAAGGCTTTAGGTAGAGTTAGATCAACTTTGTGGTTGTGCAGCAGTGAAGTGTCAGTATCAACACATGAGACGTTTTATTTAAACCGAGAAGCACTGTGCGGGTGCTTCATTCTTTTTGGGGATCACTAGCAGTGCGCACCTCTGAAAAATCAGAGTTTCGAACCCATGATCTTTTGGCCAGTTGTTGGACACTTGAACGTTTGGCCCAGAACAGGATGGAACTGCACTCAACCTCCAGTCACGGACACGAAGTCAAGTATTGACTGAACTCCTGAGTGTCGAAAAGCAGGCTCGTTGAACCGATTTGCTCTCCAGAGACAAAATGTTGCATATGGGGTGACCAGATTCGAAATCATCGGGGACACAAGTACCTTGCAGTTGAATGTGAACCAAGCACTGACATATTCATGCAGTATAGCTACCGATGTGTAGATAAAGACTATTGGTCGCTCAGCTTGGAATGATGGACTTGGGTTCATTCGCTGAGCTGGGAAATTCGGTTGCAAATTTTCCGTCATCAGTCAAAGTGATGTCATCAATGTGACACAGTTCCACTCGAAATATCACCCCGACGTTTGCAACCAAACTGTCCAGCTCAGCGAACAAGTCAACGGCCAGATGGAATATTTTGTTCGACCGATCATAAATCCTTCCGGAAGACTGGACAACTTCCAACCCTTGAGTTTGGAACTTCGTTAGAAGTTCCCAAAATGCTCAGCGTTTCGTTTTTGTTTGGACCCATTTGGCGAGTTTAGAGGAATCATATATATACCCCCGGTTAAACGTCTTAGGTCTTACGTACAGGCTCACTGACTGGTCGGTTCGGTCAGCGTTTTTTCATTTTGCGTGAAACTTGGCTTTACGAGCCGTTGAATTAACCATCATTGAGTACCTGAAATGTTTTGTCACGCGATGAACTCTTGATTTCGTAGAGAACGTTATGAAGCCTCTGATTAGAAATTCGCATACTGAAGAATTCACACTCGCCTACCAAGTCCCAAATGAAGGCTCTCGGAGTTCCGTTCGTGTGTTTGACGGTAATACTGGCATGTTGACCTCGGAATCTTCAACCGAGGAAATGACTGAGCAACATGAGAAAAAGCCCGAAGCAACCGTCTGCTCCTGGTCTTTACTTTTAATCGATTTAAGCGCAAACATCTTAAAAGCAGGTATCGTTCAGCTGTAGCACCCTTTCGGTGCCTAACTGCCATGCCAGCCAAATGAAGCACGAGAGCTGGGATACTACCAGATTGCCCAAGCCTAAACATAGGGGAAATCGAGAGGCAGAGGTCAGGTCCGAACCACGGACCTTTCGGTAAGTAAATTCGCGCTGTAACCACTTGATCCATCTCGCCCTAAAACCAGGTATGGGGTCGTTGAATTATGTGGGACAATGGCTTTTTATAGTCCTCTGACGTTCCCATTTGCCCGAATTCCTAAGTGAACAATGGTCGCGTTGTTTTATCATATTCGTCAGAAAAGGAACACCTGCAACGTACAGTATCTGATTTTGTACTGTGTTGGCTTTTTCCTAATCAAAACTGATTTGTCAAACCGTAATTGTCACGCAGTCCAGTTAGTTGTTCCACAATTGTTCGTAGTTTTTTGTGCGGACATGACAACCACATGTTTGATACAAATGGTGCTTCCGCTTTCCAAAAGTGCATGCGTGCGATCACGTGTTCCCATTGTGCAACAGTTTTTGTAGGTGCTGTTCTTTCTTTGCAAATTGCCCTTGGTCGAGTTTCTGGTCACGGGTTACGTGCGTTTAATTTTCCACCATTGGACACAGTGCTTCTTTCTAATGCATGGAACTGGGTTAATCAATTTTCGGTCCTCGCTTTATAATTAAGGAGCATTCGAAATTCTAGACCGATTCCTTCACTGAGCTGGATGCCTGCGTTTTCCACGAAACTTTTGCGAGCGACAGTTCGCTTATCAACCGTCATCTTCGTTATGTCATTATCGGACTTTACAACCAAGGGCTCTCTCTTAGAATGATAATCACACCCATGCAATTAGATGCCTATCTCAGAATTACTGTCCGGTGGCATCCTGCGCACTGGCTAATTCGGGCATACTTCCTCTTATGGAAGACATTGGTTGTACAGATATGTTTTTCAACTCAACCATCACCCGAGTCCGATTCCTTGTTTTTATCGTCGATTTTATTGGAGGTTCATCGAGTGGTCCGTCATCATCTTGTTCCTTTTCATCATTGAACACCATCGTTGAGTTGGATAACTACGTTTGGAAAGAGCGAGGGAACTGGTAACAGGTGCTAAATTGGATTTTAGCTGTAGGTTTGCTGTGGACAGACACCACCTGCAGTCATTATCTACGTGTTTTAAGTGATTGCGAGCCCCCGCTTCAGATAACTGCTTTATTGAGAACAGGTGAGTGCAGAGAGCGTCGCCGTATTTAAATCGCAGCTTTGACCTTGAATCCAGACTATCTGGTCGGTGTTGACTGATTGGTTGGCATTGCTTCTAGGTCACGCACTCGGAGATCGTCTGTCGTCGCTGATTGGTTACCTGAATGCCCAACTGATAACTTGCTGTTTTGGCCCGTAGACTCGGTGGCCTTCCTGAAGCGATTTTAGCGGTGTAGTAATAAAATTATAGTCTTTCACCATGCCACTTGAAGAAAGCATGAGGGCTGAAATATTGCCAGATTGCCCAAGCCTATACAGGAGAAGTCGAGATGCAGAGGTCGGGTTCAAACCACAAACCTTCCGGTCAGCAAATTCGCGCTCTAGCCACTTGAGCCATCTCGGAGCTGGTTGTTGCCAATAGTTTTCGAATGCTTGGGTTATTTTCAGGATTCTGACCTTCCTGGCGCATTCTTTTGACCTGTCAACCTCAGACTTCCACCGGTGGCTGATTTTGAAGAGCTCTACCTGTTTTCCGACTCTGTTGGCGTCTCTGTTGCAGCAATGGGTCTGCTGGGACGGACAGATGAAGCAGTGGCTTTTGTTTCTGGTCCTTGAAGGTCGAACGATTCAAGCAACAGGTTGAGATCTGAATACCCCTTCCGCAATCAGTCGGCCTTATCTGGTTTAAATACCTTTTCCGTATTGATGACGCTATAAGTCACCCGACCGATTCTTCTGAGGATGATTCCGACACACCAGTTTCCAGTGTGTTGGCGATTATCCCTCACATGTACGTTACTTTTAGATCGGCACGTCGACTTTCTTCGTATGGCTGATTGAGGGCATGTGGGTGTCGGCAGGATAGCGTCATGCGTGAGCCTCAACCGCCTGTTCATAAAATATGCTGGAGGGTAGCCGCTACGAGAGTGTGGATTGGGAGTTGCTCTTTAGTTCTGCCGTGGTACCTACGGAACCCTCGACCATATGACTGCGGATGGAATGGAATATACGTGACGTCATACCTTCGGGCGATACCACCAAACCGGCGGGATGGGAACAGCGTACCGTTGTCGGTGTTGAAAACGGATGCCGCAGTTAAGTGATAGTTGCCCTCCTTGTCTCCGATGTAATAAAAAAACTCGGGCCAATGGTCCTGATGCGGCTTATACCCGGATGTCCATTATGAAACGTGTCAATCCTCTATGCCAAACTCAAACGCGTGTAATAGACCGGAGTCATCAGCATATTTCAACTGGATACGAAAACCAAGGGTGATGGTCTGTACCGCTCACAAGAAGAGAAAGAAAAGTATGAATAAACTGTTCTATGACAGCGGGGAAGTACTCAACGCACAACCACCAACACACCGCTACGCACTACTACGCTCCTCAATAACGCACTGATCATGTCAGCTCGATTGGTGGTGAAGGGTTTGCAATCAAATTGCCCAGCTCAGCGAACAAGCCAACGATCACTATCTACGCTTACTGAGCTACCGACATTTTCCTCTCCTCAGTGGAAGGCTTCAGCAGTTGTCCTGCGTCAGGTGTACAAGATGAATTCTCCAATCCTTTGCTGAAGTGACAGCGATAGGTAATCGGCTCCACACAGTTTGCCCGCCTTCATTCGTTCATGTTCCTACACGCTTCTGACACTGTGCCAGCCCAGGCAACAAACTTGGTGGTGTCCGAAAGTTCCTGATTGGTTTTTTCTAGTTCAAGGATAGAAGAACACATCTTTGTTTTTTGGTCACCTACCCTCTTCAGGACTCGCCACACTTCACGATAGCTTTCACTTCCGAGAATCGGATTGACATAGACCCTACTGAGGCGGCTGATGTGTAAGCTCTTCGACCTCTGCACCGCTTCTTTTCTTAGCGCATTCCTTTCTTCCGTAGATGCTTAATTGATGGAGAAGGGAACCTTCCATCGTTAATGTTGATGGAGACCGCTCCGTTTAGGTAAATAGTGTCGATGAAAAAGAATCAGTGGTCAGGTATTTTTGGAGCCAGGCGTAATTAATTGGTCCGTGAACCCAAAAGCAAGGATTGTATTCCAACGTTGAGCAACTAATTCACTTTTGGAAATATTCGAATCGAACATTTGTGGAACGCAACCAGTCTTTTTTCTCATGCGTCGCGGCATCGCTTTCTCCTAGGTAATAAAGGAGACAGGACGAGCAACTCGAAAAAAATCGTACACCTATAGCCGGGTGGTGCAATCTTCCAAATCAAAGCAAAATAACTCTGTTGTTTGTGTGACGTTTCCGGACTGAACTCGCCGGACGAGCAGACATTCCCACTGATCAGTTCGGGGATTTGCTCTACTTCCTGGCAATAATGTCTAAGAAGAACGGTCCAACCAGGTCTTTGTTTCCCACGCATGCTTGGGAAGTGTCATCTTTGGCAATTTCTCACACTGTGATCGAATTCCTTTTATGACTGTGCAAAAAAACAAATTTTAAATAAATGATATTGCTCTACTTCCTGGCAATAATGTCTAAGAAGAACGGTCCAACCAGGTCTTTGTTTCCCACGCATGCTTGGGAAGTGTCATCTTTGGCAATTTCTCACACTGTGATCGAATTCCTTTTATGACTGTGCAAAAAAACAAATTTTAAATGAATAAATGATACAGATGAGTTGGGAAGCCCTCAATAGTGGATTTTGTCTAGTGTGGATCATTTGTCTCCACCAGACTTTATGGGCACCGTGGTCGAAAGCTATTGGCCACGGATCCTCCTACACCGATACAACTCAAGTTTCACCTGCATATAACGACCGGGCGCGCACGGTTCCACACAATGTCTCTCGGCGGAAGACGGAATCATCGTCGGTGATGGAGGTTGGTCATCATCATCATCATCAAAGACAGCAACACCAATGTTGACAGTGGTGCTTCACCGTTGTACAACCATAATTATGTTTAAAGCCCTGCAGTGAAAAGAAGAGAAAGACGGTGGAAGGGGAGGCGATTTAGTGCTGGCCTACATCAATCATTTTGAAGTGTCTACACCTCCAAGCGCTCAATCAGACAGTCAGGAAAGGAAATAATGGGACGAACGAACCTAGCATCCTTTAGCCGCCATTTCTCGCAATATCTCCAGTCAAGAACAGGTGGGGTCATGGGGACGCCATCCAGGAAGGCATACAACACCCAAACTGTTCGTAATCTCTTTCACGCCTTTCCGCCAAGTCATGCACTGTCCACCTCGCGGCTTGTGCCATCCTGAAGGAGGCACGGAGAACAACACTCGTCTCGGTAGACGGTGTTTCGGTATGCATAGCACATGACCGATCCACCGTAGTCGATGATGCTCGATGTTTCCTCGGATTGAAGTACCTGCTGCACAGCCAAATACCCGTTTTATAATCACCTCGTTACTGACACGCTGACGCCATCCTAAACTAACCACGCTTCTAAGGAATCGGTGGTCGGGAACTTGAAGATGCCTCACATCATCTGTCCGCAGAAACAATGTCCCGCACCCGTACAACAACACTGCCCTTACTATAGCCTGGTACACACGACCCTTAGGATCTAGTGAGATGCCTTTCTGACGCCACAATTGACGCAAATTAGCAAACGTGATTCGAGCCTTTGAGATTCTTGCACTGACTTCATCAGACACACTTCCGTCAGAGTTAATACAACTACCGAGGTGTGTAAAATTTTCCACGATCTCCAGTGATTCTCCTTGAATTTTAACGGATGTGTTCGGTGACTGCAAGTTCTGAAGCATGACTGCACGCTGAGGGTGCAAGACGCATGCCAAAAATAGTATGATGGTGGTCAATTGATTCAACAAGGCTTGTACTTCGCCTTGGTCTTCAAACATGAGAGCAATGTCATCTGCTTACTCCATAACGACGAGGCTCTCACCAGCAACAATTTGAACTCCTGGATTTTGAAGACCTTCCAGCCTTCACCTCATTATTTCACCAATGACGAAGTTGAACAAGAACGGAGAGAGTGGATATCCTTGCCGGACATCACTTTTTGTAGAGAGGCTTTTAGAGAGCTCACCATGCACCTTCCCCGGCCCGAAGTATGTGGAATATAGAGATCGGATTATGTTCACAAACTTCTGGGGCATACCCTGTTGAGCAAGGGTAGTTAATGGCACTGACCGATGGAGGCTGGTGGAAGGCGAGTGAGTCTGAATGGTTCGAATGGAAACTTTATTCCCCACTTCATGGTTGCTGCTTCCGAGTCAAATGTTCTCGCCGCGAGTATGAATGGACGCAGTGGGTGGCCGGTCAAACAACGTCGATTAGTAGCTCTTTTACGGTGATTCCAAGTTCAAATAAATGAGTGGAATTAATGTAAGGTGTTCTACGCTCCAAACGCAGGATTGTCCGCTTAACTTCACTCTTGACTACTTTGTCCGTGACTAGTTTCAGTCAAATGGAGGGGCCCCGAATTGAGGTCACGAGTGGGATCTGGTCAACGTGCCTCCGTCTGGGGTCGTGGTCTTTTTATGGAGGCCACCAATTCCTAAGTTTCATCCAACAACCGAATGAACTCCTGTTTGAGTGTTTATTTTGTTCTCGAAAATCTGCTTATATTCTATACTGTACTCTTTAATCCCGCCTGAAAACGTTCTCGCACAATCGGTGATAAATGTGGCACATTATTGAGGGCTTAAATGCCAAATTTAATCGCAGAAGCTTCATAAATGAACCAGGTACCCTAACTTCCTGTGGTCCTGAAAAACGTTTACTCTAACTGGTCGTCCTCAAATTTATTGTCACGTGAAGGGTGCATATACACTGATATTGATATATTGATCAATTGTCACGCCTCTAAAGTGGAACGCAATCCAACAACAAGATTGACTTTCACTTGTTCTCGTGTATACGGATGGATGGCGAGATGGCCCAAGTGGTTAGAGCGCGAATTTACTGACCGGAAGGTCCCTGGTTCGAACCCGACCTCTGCCTCTCGACTTCGTCTGTCTAGGCTTGGGCAACCTGGCAGCATCCCGGCCCTCGTACAACCTTCGGTTGGCATGGCAACTAGGCACCGAAAGGTTGCTCTAGCTGAACGATACGGATGTATTGCAAGGTTGGTATTCGAGATTGAATGAAACCCTCTGGACGGCGCTTCATTATCGGGATTATCGATTTCGGTTTAGTTTCTATTACCCACAAAAGTGGTTTACGGTTTGCGGGGGAAGGGTGAAGAATCTCTGGTTAGAAGTTCCTTCCACGATTGGATGGCATTGCATTAGTTGGAAAAGTGATGAAACCAGTACCACATTAAAAATTACCCCAGTGTTTGGAGATACACCGTGTAGAAATGAAGGGCAACTGTGAAGATTAACGTTTTGCACGGGGGGGGTGGGGTGAAATAACAAATGAACATGAGTCATCATCAAAGACAGCAACACCAATGTTGACAGTGGTGCTTCACCGTTGTACAACCATAATTATGTTTAAAGCCCTGCAGTGAAAAGAAGAGAAAGACGGTGGAAGGGGAGGCGATTTAGTGCTGGCCTACATCAATCATTTTGAAGTGTCTACACCTCCAGGCGCTCAATCAGACAGTCAGGAAAGGAAATAATGGGACGAACGAACCTAACATCTTTTAGCCGCCATTTCTCGCAATATCTCC